ATATTTCATTGAGGAGGTTTAAAATGAAATAAGATTTCAAACAATAGGTAGGTGCATGAGTGAAAAAAATTTGATTAAATATTGACCATGTTGGATCAAAGTTATTAGTTTCTATTAACTGCGGTTTGGATTAAAAAATTCAACTTTCCTAGAAGGATAAATATTTCTGGAGGAGACATAAAATGAAAGGGTAAACTTACGATTTTCAGAGCATTGTGATGCAGGGAATATTTCTGATGTTAGATTTCAAGATTGATAATGGCGCCTGTTCATCTCTACCATGATGTTCCCCACATTTGAAATAAAATTCCTTTGAAAGAACAAAAAGTTTGTGACCTACTTTAGTATTTTACTCTGTATAATGTCAGGTAATTTTACTCATCAGTGGAAGAGTACTGTCAGTTAATAAGTTAACAAACTAATATCTGTCAGTGTCTCTTGTTAACCCATTAGTTGCAATGCACCTAGATGTGACCCACTATTGTATTTTAGGTCTAATAGGTGGATAACTTACAGCTGTTTTTCCCTGACAGTTTGTATTGGATTCACATTGTCCCTGCATTCGGCCTTTGATCAATACATCGTCCCAACCATTTGGACCCTTGCAAGAAACCATAAATATTGTGTAAACAAGATGTTTGTTGACATTCAAAAGCTTTCACAGCAAGCTTGTAAACAAGTTGTAACAATGTCGACATTTTATAAAGTCTAAATATAAATCTGCTGCAGATTTTTTACAAGTTGTTTATAAGGAAACAGTAAATACCTGTGATAGAACAAAGCTTCCTTCCTTGCAATTTGAACATCGACATCGCAATTTTCCTTGTGTTAGTTTCTTGCAAGTTTTACAATAAACAAAGAAGAAACTTTGCTTGCCTGAGATGAAAGAGTACAAAAAGTTTGGATTATTAAAGGAGCCCTGGTGTTAGAGAGATGAGCTTATTAGAAAGAGAGAGGCCTAATATTAGAGAGAGAGGGGCTTATTAGAGAGAGAGGGGCTTATTAGAGAGAGAGGGGCTTTTTAGAGAGAGAGGGGCTTATTAGAGAGAGAGGGGCTTTTTAGAGAGAGAGGGGCTTATTAAAGAGAGAGGGGCTTATTTGAGAGAGAGTGGTTTATTAGGGAGAGAGGGTGGGTCTTCATGGATGAAGTATAATATGATTAGGGGGGAAGGCAGGGTAGAGAACCCTCTACCCAGGGTTTCTCCATGAGGAAAATGCAAGGGTATCAAGCTGGGGATAGGAGTTTATTGGAGATAGACAATTAGAGAAGTGGTACAGTACTGTGTTAGAGGACATCCAGGTAAGGGGGTATGGGCAAGGGTGGGTTGGGTTAATTGGAAAAAGGGGTTTTAGAGAGGAGGCATATTAGAAAGGGGCATGCTAGTAGGGAAGGGTATAGGGGATTGGCTAGAGAGGGTTAATTAGAGAGGGAAATAAGGAAAGAGGTACATTAGGGAGGGGCATACTATTAGGGAAGAGAATAGAGAATAATTTGAGGGTTAATTAGAGAGGAATATTGGAGAAGAGGTACATTAGGGAAGGGCATAATCATGACAGAGGGGAATAGAGTGATTTGAGGGTTATTTAGAGATGGCTATTGAAAGGATATTTTATAGAGAACAAACCAGAGAAAGGGTTATTGGAAAAGAGGTGTATTAGACAGGATTGCAATACAAGGAACAGAAATTATTATAGTGGATTAACTAGAGAGAGGTTTATCAGGAAAGAGGTTTATCAAATCAGGTCATATCAGAGAGGGAGAGGAACGAGGGTGAACATAGCGGGAACATATTGGAGGTATTTATTGAGGGTGTAAAATTAGGAGGGGGATTAAACAGGGTGGGGTCACATTATTTATCTAGAGGTTTATGAAAGATCTCGTCACAACCTGATTGTTCAGATTCACCGTCTTCATCCTCGTCATCCTGTGTCAGTTTTACTTTCGTCAAACCATCATTCGCATTGTAAGTTGCATCAACTGAGATCTGACCAGATTTCTGAACAGCATGAATGACGCTGTGGTTCATCTCTGCATTCTACAAAAAAACACAGTTTCAGATCTCTGAATGTCAGACTCATTGTCGACTGATGGTAATTGAAAGACTGAGAATTCTGAGAACATCTGAAAAATCCTGGAAACTGTCCATGAGTGAGAATTCACATAAGTTTGGGTCAGGTTTTAGTGGAAAAAGATGGCTTTGAAAAATGTCTTAAAAAATCATTTTATCAAAATTCAGACACTGTGATATTCTGAGATGGACTGACTCAAGCAAGACAAGCTGTATCATAATCTATCTCAGATTTACTATAACGAAGATGGTCGCTTTAAACATCAAAATCCCGAACTAAAAAAACCTCATTTATGAAATCATTTCAACATTTCACAGTAAATCTTTCGTTATTTCTTTGAAAATTGTTATATAAATCACATTAAAAGCTTGATATTTTCCTAAAAATCACTCACCCCGAGTGTTAATTTTTATCGGGTAATTCTCGACCGGCAAAAATGATTTTAATTCCAGCAGTTTTGACATTTTTCTTGCGAGCAATTTCCCGTTTTAGTTGAGCGATTGTCCAGGATGGTTGAAAACGAAGGTTAAATGATTTGCCGTTGAAGTTTACGGTCACGTCGTGCGACATATTTCGCTAGAAAAGCTCGTGTATTTCCTTGCAATTGAGAGAAAATAATTCAAAATATTTTGCTTCAAAACGAAAGTTTGGAAAAGAAATGTTTGAAAATTGAAAGTTTAAAACGACGATTGCTTCCACTTACCAAAACAAACTTCCTCTTTTTTCCTTGAAGTTTCACCACTGAGCTATATAATGGATTAGGGATTGGGGATCTCTTTTTTACTTATATATCATGCATGGTTAAATATGGACAAATTTTGTCCAAATTTAACCAGCTTCGTTTAGTAGGGTTTGGAGAAGCCTTTTTTATAAAACAATATTGTTTTCATCATTGGGGATCTCTTTTTTACTTATATATCATGCATGGTTAAATATGGACAAATTTTGTTCAAATTTAACCAGCTTCGTTTAGTAGGGTTTAGAGAAGCCTTTTTTATAAAACAATATTGTTTTCATCATTGGGGATCTCTTTTTTACTTATATATCATGCATGGTTAAATATGGACAAATTTTGTTCAAATTTAACCAGCTTCGTTTAGTAGGGTTTGGAGAAGCCTTTTTAATAAAACAATATTGTTTTCATGATTGGGGATCTGTTTTTTACTTATATATGATGAATGGTTAAATATGGACAAATTTTGTTCAAATTTAACCAGCTTCGTTTAGTAGGGTTTGGGGAAGCATTTTTTATAAAACAATATAGTTTTTATGATTGGGGATCTCTTTTTTACTTATATATCATGCATGGTTAAATATGGACAAATTTTGTTCAAATTTAACCAGCTTCGTTTAGTAGGGTTTGGGGAAGCATTTTTTATAAAACAATATAGTTTTTATGATTGGGGATCTCTTTTTTACTTATATATCATGCATGGTTAAATATGGACAAATTTTGTCCAAATTTAACCAGCTTCGTTTAGTAGGGTTTGGAGAAGCCTTTTTTATAAAACAATATTGTTTTCATCATTGGGGATCTCTTTTTACTTATATATCATGCATGGTTAAATATGGACAAATTTTGTTCAAATTTAACCAGCTTCATTTAGTAGGGTTTGGGGAAGCATTTTTTATAAAACAATATAGTTTTCATGATTGGGGAACTCTTTTTTACCTATAAATCATGCATGGTTAAATATGGACAAATTTTGTTCAAATTTAACCAGCTTCGTTTAGTAGGGTTTGGAGAAGCCTCTTTTATAAAACAATATTGTTTTCATGATTGGGGATCTCTTTTTTACTTATATATCATGCATGGTTAAATATGGACAAATTTTGTTCAAATTTAACCAGCTTCGTTTAGTAGGGTTTGGGGAAGCATTTTTTATAAAACAATATAGTTTTTATGATTGGGGAACTCTTTTTTACTTACATATCATGCATGGTTAAATATATGGACAAATTTTGTTCAAATATAACCAGCTTCGTAGAATAGCTTTCGGGAGAGAATTTTTAAAGTAAAAATACTGTTTTCTGCATTGCGGCACTTCTTTTTACTTATATATCATGCATGGTTAAATATGGACAAATTTTGTTCAAATTAAACCAGCTTCGTTTAATAGCTTTTGGGAAATAATTTTTAACGTAAAAATTCTGTTTTCTGGATTGGGGATCTCTTTTTCACTTATATGTCATGCATGGTTAAGTATGGACGTGCTTTCCCAAGTTATGCTTGGAGTCTGATAAAACCACAGTTAATAGAATTTAATTTTCAAGTCAAGGTTGAGGAGCTTAGCAAGACGAATACCATTGTTAAGTTTGGCTAAAATACAATCGACACGTGACGAGAAAGGAACCGTTTTTTGAATAAACCTGGACAATAACATAATTAATGAGCTGAATTGTACTTTTATTTCGTCTCCAAACCATGTATTTTATTATCTGTGATAAAACATAACTACAGTTTTAAACGAAAAACAAGCGAACGGGACTTGAATAGAATGGCAATAACAGGCATTCATCCATGGTATTTCACACATATCCACATTGCACCCGGGTTTCGCCAAAAAGAAACAAAAAATTCGTACCATTTCAAAATAAATAAATTTGTCCCGTTTCAAAATAAATTTTTGATTGGAAAGAACACCGCGCCGTTTATTTTGTGGGCCGTCGACTTCAGCTCAGCTGGTATCTGGGATTTTCTCAACATCCAACGTCTCTTTAAAGGTATATGTTTTATCGTCAAAGCGAGCATGCATACCGTGATGCAAACGAAAGTCATATAACCACATTGTTTTTATATTACGCATGTATTCACATTATCGTTTCATATACCTGAACGGAATAATAAATGTACTTGGTGTTTTAGCATATTCCTGCAATGACGAACTTATAACATTTCTGTGTACGAATTAAGTCCACTACACGCTTAATAAAAAATTTAAAAAAATTATAATTATTTTTTTAAAATAACATTGTTTTGGAGCATAACTCCATGTACCTGATTATTCATATCGTACATCACTGATAAACTGTTACAGTACGTGTTTGTTGGTGCGTTAATAAATATTATTCATTTATTATTTTCTTTATATATTATTAACACTAGGTAAGTGACAGACTACTTGAAAAGTGATCAGGGCTATGAAGTAAAAACGGTGGCACAGGAAGGGGTCCAGTTATCAAATTGAAAAATTTTGTCTATCCTAGAAAAGTCTATCCTAACTTAGGCCACATTTTCTCAATATAAAATGTCTTTGTCTATCTTTGTAATTGGACTATTCTCTTCCTTTTCCAGTTTTAGCCGTACCGGTAATTACTTCGTGACTGAACCAGATGTAAGGTAATGGTCATAGGGTTTTGAAAATGCCATGTGTGGATATGATTCGAGGAGTGGATATGATTCAAGGAGGAGATTTGATATGGATGGAACTGATTTCTTTCACCTATATTCCACTGTGATTGTTGATCAAGCAGACCAAATTCTTTTCAAAGAATTATTATTCATCCCACCACAAACTTTCTAGATCTGACATTTCGGCCATAAACAGCAACACTTTTCATATGCAGAACAAGTCTGTGTGGCAAGCTTGGTACTGGTAGAATTCTAAAACACTTAAATTTTCAAAGATACAAATTAATACCTTTGACATTTATATTTAAGGCATTTTAAAATAATTGCAGTTGTCTGTAATGTGACCATGTTTCAACATGATAATAGAATGCCCTTGTAAGCGCAACTGTGCAATACGTGTTTACTATTTAAAGGGGACACTTTATGCAACACATATTTAGTACAACCATAGAATACCAGCCCTGAAACTATTGAAATACATGGCCACTGGCTATCCACCATACACTGCACCTACTGACCTACATATAAACACTTTGACATTGAATTTAGCCTTAAGTTTGCAGCATTATATTGATGTGGCTACATAGCCAAACAGTAAAGGAACCTAGTGATGGAACATAGCCACATTAACATGCACCCAACAAGATGGTTTTGAATGTTGGTAATTGCAATCTTACCGAAGATATAATTTATTTCAGCTTGAAATTGTGCAGTTATCGCAGTTTATAAGCTGCTTTTAGACATTTAGGTTTTAGACGTTTTGTATAACTACAGAATTTAGGTTATGGCCTTCATTATGCTGTAGTAATTATTTCAAATGCATAAGGCCAGGTCAAACGTCAAACTTTTCATGCATCAAACCTAATGATAACAAGCTAAGTTTTTTGTTTCATTTTATTTGCATTATGTTTGGTGCATGAAAAGTTTGACGTTTGACCCAAGCCAAATCCATTGATCAGATTGCTATTATCACACACTAAAATGTTACAATGTACTGTTTTGTACAATATATACATTCCCCATGCATTATTATCCGTACAAATTATACACTATTGACTACCCCAGAACAACCTTTAAATCCCTAGAAGTGGGATTGAAGACATGTCTTCGACGAATATCTTACCTCGTTAGTACTTTTATCATCGCACAGTTCGAATTCATCGACATCGTCAATATTTACATCCAAATCGACCTCATGCATATTCATACTTGCCTGACGTGCGGCCATCTTGGATTTTGTTTTTGAACTTAGTAACCTGGCCGTGGTTAAACTTGTTGGTTTTTGAACAAATTTTGTCTGAAATAATACCTCGAGGACCGGCTCGTCATTTTTCGGTAACTTAGCCGCCATCTTTTTGTCGCCAAAAACATGGCGGACTTCGCCCTTCTGCGCAACCGCAGAAGCTCTGCTGACGCCACATGGTTCCTTTTGGCCATGGTAGTTACCACTGACCAGGCTCAAATATGAGCCCGCTACAAGGGTGTCCTCCCCCCTGGATTTATTAAACAACAGATTCTCCCCCCTGGCCTTTATAAAAAAAATTCCCGTGAAAACTTCAGTTTGTTTTTCTGAAATATAAAGTCATGAAAACATCATTAATTGGATTTTTTTGAAATATAAAGCGTTTTTTTAAGATGAATACAAGTCGTAGATGCTGTTATTGCCAACTCAAGAACAATTGTATATTAAAACGTAAAAAATTGTGGACAAAATTGAAGATTTTAATTCTGACACGAACTGACAGGTGTTTTTTTTATATTTTCATTATTTATACATTCCTATAACAAATGCTTGAACTTTTTGGCACTATTGTCGGACATTTTGGGGACAATTGGATATTTATGGACATCAATTAGACTTTTTTATACCCTGCATGAACTGCAGAATTACTGAAAGTATGCAATTAATAATGTTTTCTTGAATGTCTTCAGGACAATATATCTAGGTATAATCCAAAGAAACAGAGGCCAAAGCTCAGGGGCAAGATGCTTGGCAGCTGACTAAGTGCAAGAGTATAGTTTCAACCATGAGTCATATTTGCAAAGCTGAAAATATTTTCATAAAAACCAGGAGGGAGATGGACACAGTTTTTCACCTTGTATCGCGGTATGTCAGTGGTAACCACCACGAGCAAAAGGAACCATGTGGCGTCAGCAAAGCTCAAAATCCGCCATGTTTTTGGCGACACGATTTGGCAGCGAGCCGGTCCTCCAGGAATTATTATATAGCTCAGTGAGTTTCACTCCCTGGCAGTTTTCTGATCTCTTGGGACACTGGAATGTTCAGCGTTTTCTATGTTGGCAATAGTTCCATTTAATCCGTGAGATTAGGTTAAGATTAGGGTTAAATTTAGGATTAGGTTTAACCCTATTTAACAATAAACCTAGGACCTAATCTTAACCCAAATCGTAACATAATCTCAAATAATAAGTATGTCTCAGGGATAGTTTTTTTAACTCATTTACTGCCAAAACAAACTTCCTCTTTGCCTTGAAATTTCACTCCCTGACAGTTTACTGATCTTTCAATAAACTGGAATGTTTACCGTTTTCTATGTTGACAATATAATTCCATTTAATCCTTGAGATTAGGTTAGGATTAAGGTTCAGTTTAGGATCAGGTTTAACGCGAATAAACAATAAACCTAAAACATAATCTTAACCAAATTCCTAACATAATCCGAAAGATATTCAGGATTTGGTTAAAATGAAGAGCTATATTAAAAACTATCGCAGCATCGTCAGCACTTTTGAAAGTGTAAATTCGCATTTTAAATAGAACAAGTTAAAGCTTTTAGAGTCGACTTAAATTACTGCAAAATAACATTTCTCTAAAATCTACTGAAAATATCAGAAAAATGTTTCATTCTGCTCCAGCTCTCTCTCCGTCAGATCGCAACATTTTCAAATTCATTTTTGGAAACACCGCAGCAAATTCCAGGAATTCCTAAGTCCTGACAGGAAAGGACGCGTCTTATGCAAATACTTTATAAGGAAGAGTATTTGTCTTCATAAACTGATCATTTTGGAGAAGATTTCGAGAAAATACAAACACAGACTTCACCAAGAACGAACACTGTATCTATATCCAGTCTATACAGCGAGGTTTATACTACAGAGCGACAAACAACGCAGAACTTGCTTTATTATTACGACACAAGAACGTCCAACGTGTGCTGATGAACTGACCGTAGAGACTTTGGGCGAACCAAATAAAATGGTAAAAGATTTTATAAATGAGTTAAAAATTCGTTGCGTTTACATCGACAGAGGTTGTCAAGAAGTTGTAGAATTACAGCATCTTGACCGCCATGAAGATACATGTGGATATACACCAGCCGTTTGTACAAACCAAGGCTGTGGTTTAATTGTCAACAAGCGTGATCTTATTCACCATGAAAGTGAAGTCTGTGAATTCCGAAAGTTGAAGTGTCACTCGTGCGGAGAAATGACGAAAACTTTGGCAGATATGGAGGAAAGAATGGCGAATATCGAGAAGAATAATGTAACAATTGAAAATAAAATAACAAATTTAGAGAAAAATATGGCGAGAAATACCACAGTCGCAGTCGCAGATTTAAAAGCAGATATGGAAGGAAAACACGAAGCGGTTAACAACGAAGTCAAAGGATTGAAAACAGCTTTGGTCAGAGCTTTTGATGAAATTAAGGACGTTCTTATTACGATGGAGGGAAAGATAGAAGAAAACACAAGAAAAGTAAGAAATAGACCAAGTGGTGATAAGGAAAATATTATTGTTGCTGGAGGTTTTTTGACTAATTCTGTAGAGATGTTTAACTGGCGTCAAAGAACATGGTCGCCATTACAATCAATGCCAAAGAAACGTTGGGCAGCGACTTCATTTATTTATAACAATCATATGACTATAGCTGGGGGTTGGTGTGGTTTGTCTGACATTGTTGATGATATGATTAGAATGAATATTGACCCAAACCCTGATCTCTTGACACACTGGAGCGACTGTCCTGTTAAACTACCTGATGAGTTGAGATACCAGAGCAGTGTGCTGTATAATGATCAGTTGATAGTCTCTGGAGGTGATTGCGAAAATGTGTCATCTGACTTGATCAGATCAGTCGATCTTGTTCCTCCCTATACTGTGAAGACCTTATCAAGAATGCCAGAACCAAGACAAGGTCACAGCATGGAAATATTTGATGATAATTTGTTGATAGTTGGTGGAAGAACAACTGGTAATTACAAAGACAACCTCAGCAGTGTCGTACTGTACGATATAAAGAAGAATGAGCTGAAACAGTTGTCACCACTGCCGTATGAAGTGAGTGATATGGCAACTGTGAGATGGGGAGACAACATTGTTGTTATTGGTGGCATTAACAAACATAGAAAGACATTTTATACAGTTATCATTTACAATGTCAAGACAGAACAAAGTCACATGCTGCCATCAATGAGATGGAAGAGGAGTGGATGTACTGCAGTTGTTATTGAAAACAACATTGTAGTCCTGGGAGGGAGGGGTGAACAATTCCACTGGAAGTCAGTGGAAGGTTTCAACTTTGAAAGGTATTCTTGGGACGAACTTCCAAAAATGTCTAAAGCAAGAAGGGGGCACACTGCTGTTGTTGTGTGAACAATATGTAAGGTATTAAGTGAAAACTCCTAACATATTATGAACAATTGAAATGAACTATAAGATTTTCACAAAGTTATAGAAATAGATTGTAGCATTCTAAGTTGATTGTCAGACATATACTGATTTATATTTTTGTGATTGAATTTAAATTGAGTCAGTTCTTAGAACAATAATAAATCTTTGAAATAGATATTTTCATTGAGGAAGGTTAAAAATGAAACACCAAATAAAACATTTGAAATAAGCTTTTCTGCACCCCCTCCACCTAGGTTTTTCACCCCCTCCCTCCCACAGATTTTTTCACACCCCTCCTCCCCACCTACGTTTTTCAGCTAAAACCCCACCCCTCCCCACCTAGGTTCTTCTGCCCCAGTCCCCCAGACCAAGAATCCTAACTGAGCCTCTGCCTCAAGAAATAGTTCAGTTACCTATTTTAAATATCAGCCTGTCTGTAAATGATGTCTGTGTCTGTCAGACTGCCACAAACCAAGTCATATTTTAAAATTTAACAATTAACAAGATTTGGAGAGATAGTTTTACTCTTTATTAAAACAGAACCCTGATTAAATAATATAAATTGGTTTGTCAACTAAAATAAAATTGATGTTTCAAGTTTGCTCACAGATTGTTTTGTAATTTCACGTTTTCCATCGCATCCTTGAAGGCTTTTAGTACAAGATTTACATTATCTTTTGTACTGTTCAACCCCATCAGACCAACACGCCAGTCGCCATATCTGAAAAATTTCACGACAAAAAGTAAGGTTTTTCACAGGGAAAAAATTTATGATTATGGAGGGAATATCTTCAAATATGGAGAAGAAAATTGTGAATATGGATACCTTTCCAGCAGATCTTCCAAGACCACCTGAAATATCCATTTTATATCTGAAAAAGAAATTGATTATTCAATTTTAACACTCTCCCTCTTTATTGGACTTCTATGAATCACCACCCTGCAAATATTAAAATTGCAGTTGATAGCAGGGGGTATTTCTTCCCAAGATTCATCACTCAGCAATTATCGTAAATGGATGGAATCACCCCCCTGTTCATATTCAAAATGGGGCAGTTCGCAGGGGGGTGATTGCCTTCATTTACCGGTACTTGCTGAGTGAATGAACCACTTATGCAAAAAACAATGGAGTTGTTCTTCTGATAGGTATTCTGTGCCTACACTTTCTTTTATTTTTATTGTATTTTTATCTTTACTTGAAAGCACGACATGAAATTACCATTTAGACCTAACCCGGGGGGTGACGGGAGTCAATGACCAAATTCATTACTCATTCTGTTTCGAGAAATGCATTATAGTTTAAAATTTAGTTTAGCCGAATTCATATTAGAGGCGGGAAACTCGTCTTACAAGGTCAAGGAAAACAGGAAACTCGTCTTACAGGGGAAACTCCTCTTGGAAACTCATCTTAGACGGGAAACTCGTCTGATGTGAATCAGGCTACAGATGAGTTTCTCGTCAGAATTTTCCCGCCTAACTTTCCCGTCTAAACAAACGGTTAATTTGAACGGGAATCCCTTCTGGACGAGAAACTCGTCTTAAATTCGCATTTAGAGGGATAAATCAGACGAGTTTCTGAAATATCAAGACGGTCAAGGACGGAACAAGGGTAAAGCCCGCCGCACAAGAGAACTATCAGCTGAGCTAACGACCTCGCGAGGCAGTTAA